CCACACTTTAGTAGAAGGATTTTATTGACAGATGAGGCAACGTTTACCAGATCTGGTATCACTAGCATTCGTAACGATCATGTTTATGCTGAAGAAAATCCGCATATGACAACAGCAGTCCATCATCAGCATCAATTCAAAGTCAATGTTTGGGTTGGAATTATTGGCGATAACATCATTGGACCGGTAATAATACCAAATCGATGGATTGCAAGGGAAGCTGATGCCCCAATAAAATGGCCAGCATGATCACCAGACCTTACACCGTGTGATTAGTTTCTCTGCGAGGTATTGAAGTCAAAAGTCTATGCCTCTACAACTGATACTGAAGACGAATTACGAAGAAAAATTTTGTTAGCATTTAATACATTAAATAATCCCAAAACAATGGACAATTTAACTTTTTACGACGAGTAAATTTATGTATTTTGAAAAACGGTGGTCATTTTGAACAAGTTTAGTAAATATTTCCTACTTATTATTGTGTTGGTATTTGTTAAGATTATTGTTACCTTTTGTTTCTTAGAATTGATTAAAAGTTTTTCTTTCTAGTACTGAAACAACTAAATACGACTACGCTTTTTCCTCACACTGTATGCTTTTAGGACCATTGAATTCCCACGCTTTTGATCAATTAATGATATTGTATTCACGTTAAACACAAATTGTTCGAAATCAAATTAGTTGAAATCATTGCCAACTACGGTGAGGTAACTTTTGTAACTGCAATGACGTAAACAAGACTTGCAGATATTTAAAAATACCTTTTTTCTGGCTTAACCACTTATGTAATCAAAATCTCGTAAGAGACAAAAACGGTTCAGAACTAAATGGGCTATTCAGAAATTGTAATAATGTAATTTTATTGTCGCCTGGCCAGAAAAAAAATATGGAGTAATATCCGGTGAACACATGACTTTTCCATCATTCCTGTGTTTCTAAAATTGTATCAAAAACCATAAAAAGACGTTAATTGAACCTAGGTACTCACTTCAGAAAAATGGTTTCAATTGATTTACGCGTTTTCGAGTTATAAAAAATAAAAGATTTTTTTTTGCTAACTTTGAAGTCCTCTAGCGGCGAAACGAAGCAACTTTAGATATAGATAACTTAACTTAAATCGACCTATTTTGAGCCAAGGAATCTGGTCTTCCGTTGTACACGCATTTCGGAGACATCCTGCATATATATATTTCTTTCTCTTCCTCTTCAAAAATAATAATAATAACAAACTAAAATGTATCATTCAACAGCTCACTCAAAAACACCTTAACTTTGCTCGTGAAGGGAATCAGACCAAGACCTTTGAATGAATCAGGTAGCAAGTTATACATGTTAGGCATACAGTAAGAGAAACTACGTTTAAATAGTTCTGAGCGGTGGAGAGGTATCGTCAGTGTGTGTTTATGGCTAACATTAATATTGTGTATATCCTTGCGAAATTTAATTTTGTTATACAGTAATTAAAAACAGTTTATGGAAAAATCGCTGAGACGGGTCTAAGGATTTTAGCAATCCTCCGTTTTTCTTACAGCATATGAAAGAGGATTTTTTCTGTATTTGATACAGCCTAAATTAATATTAGCTACATAATAGTTAATTAATTTCCATTTATTTGAGGTAGAAAATAGCAATAGCCATGCGTAACCAAGGCAACCAGTTGTTTCAGATATTTTATTAAGACAACGATTAATTTTTGATATCTGATACAGTTGGTTGCCATGGTTACGCATAGCTACTGCTATTTTTCTGTCCCAAATGAACGGAAAATAATGAAACTTTATGATAATTTTTCTCGAAAATCTTCTTATGTGACCAATACTAATATTGACTGTACTAGATTCAGAAAAAAGTCCTCTTTCATATTCCGTAATAGAAATGGGGCATTGCTCTTTGAAGAAAATATCGATGACGTCATTACTCGTTTAAAAATGACGGAAAAAATTTAAAATCTACACCAAACAATTGCAAAAAATTTAAATCTTTAGACCCGTCTCAGCGATTTTTCCATAAACTGTTTTAAATTGTTTTAAGACATTACTACTTGTTTGTAAAATTATTTAAATATATACAGGTGTCTCAGCGAAACCGGTCATTAGACGTTTCTGTGGTTCTGGCGAAAATAAAAATTTGAGAATTCAGACTTAAGTATTATCAATTACGATCTCTTCGACTAAAATATTTTCAGATTTTTTGCACTTCCGGTTATACCGGAAGTCGCCACCTACTTTATTTTTTTAAATGGAACACCCTGTATATTTTTACATATTTGGATTTGTCTGTTTTCAGGGTTTATAAATAACTTTACTTTTTGCAATTTGATACGGCCGTTCTTGAGTTATTCGAATTTTTCTAGAAAAATCTGCTCCAGCAGACATTTGTTCAAAAAATCAGAGAACACTCGATTTTTGGGATATCAATTTAGGATTCAGAATATGCTTAAACAACATGATGGAGTATGTTTTGATGCCGAGAACGGTTATCTAGAACGTTTGGTCACTTTACTATGGCACGTTAACTTTTCAAAATTTGGAAGTACCATAACTTCATTTTTTTAAATGGCGTCTTCGGCGTCTCATTCTACATCTTTTATATCCCATATGTCCCATACCTAACATTAATAGTTTAGGAGATAGTTAGGGTTTTTTAAAAAATGCACACATATCATATGGATATTTAGCCTAGTGTGCCATGAAAAACAAGCCTTCTCAATGAGTTCTTGTCAAAGACTCACTTGTTTACGTCACTTGATGCATGTGAGCAAATAATTATTTGTTATGTCCCTTAATATTAGTACTGAAAAGAATTAAAATCGATAACAATAACGAAAGTAATATTTACACAAATCAAGTCATTATTTTTTATTCATAAAAAGTGCGACAAAGTTCGTAGTATGATTCCTAGATCTTCTTTGGCAGCTCGAATTGAGGTGTTGGGACTGGGCTCGAAATAAGCCAAGGCATTCACCTCTTCCGTTGCATTATCTACTACATTTTTTGGTCAGTTTAACACGTGATTAATTCGTCNTAACTTATCTTTTATTTTCGTACTTTTAATATTGCTTTTTACGTTTGGTTTTCTTGTGAAAGGGGGAGTAACTGTAGCGTACACAGCCTACCTTCACATAGAAATTATAACTTTTATCAAATTACCTTATTTTCATAAATTACCTATGTTACCATTTTTGTTGATTTCGATGTAAATTTATTCCATTAGAAACATTCAACAAGACGACATGTCTAACTTGTATTTTAATTCTGAAAAAGAGTAAATTATATAAACTACTACTCTTTACGTCTATTAAGTTTGACACACGATTTCTAAAAAAAAAAATTTTTTTAATAAAAAATAGTATTCCCTGTTTTTCTGCAAAAACACGTTATTTAAAAATACATACTTTCGTATGATATTTGTATTTTCTCTAAAATAATTTACCAATTTTGTTTACTCAACAAGATGGTTGCCCAGCTTATTATGCTCGTCTTGTACAGGATTACTTGAATACAGAATATCCCGACATGAATTTGGCGCCTGATTAGAAAGTACATCAAAGTACAAAGTTTAGGCATAATTGAGCCCGATTGATGTTGTTTCGTGAAGAACACCATTGAAATTGTTATAACTTTTATGTAATGCAAGTTTGCGCTTTTGTATCTGTGATGTGTTGTTGGGGTTTCTTGTGAAATCGAGCGTATTCCTGCTCGGCTAATGTGTATCTCATTGCGGCTATACGTTTGCAATTCTGCTTGGCCAATTTTTACTCATGCCACATTTATGATCGTCAAAATTAGTATAAATCCGTTATTAAAGATTATAGCAACCAAAAAGTTACATTTTCAACTGTTATCGTTTTATAGTATAAATGTTTCAACCCAAGGAACATTCGAGGAGCTCATGATGACTTCTCATGAGTCTTGACAAAATGGGCTTTAGTTTCTCCAAAACATGTTAACTCAACGTTGGATTTAATGACGAAAATTGTTACATGTGCTGGCGGGATTCGACTTTACGCCACTTACATCAACTATCTCGGTCTATCGGGTAGTTTTGATGTTGTGACTTTTCATNCATAGTAACGACGCATTGTCTACCAAAAAACAATTCAAAGTTCACTTTAATTTTTCTTGCTAACTTATCTTTTATTTTCGTACTTTTAATATTGCTTTTTACGTTTGGTTTTCTTGTGAAAGGGGGAGTAACTGTAGCGTACACAGCCTACCTTCACATAGAAATTATAACTTTTATCAAATTACCTTATTTTCATAAATTACCTATGGTACCATTTTTGTTGATTTCGATGTAAATTTATTCCATTAAAAACATTCAACAAGACGACACGTCTAACTTGTATTTTAATTCTAAAAAAGAGTAAATTATTTAAACTACTACTCTTTGCGTCTATTAAGTTTGACACACGATTACTAAAAAAAAAATTTTTTTAATAAAAAATAGTATTCCCAATTGATGTTGTTTCGTGAAGCACACCATTGAAATTGTTATAACTTTTATGTAATGCAAGTTTGCGCTTTTGTATCTGTGATGTGTTGTTGGGGTTTCTTGTGAAATCGAGCGTATTCCTGCTCGGCTAATGTGCATCTCATTGCGGCTATGCGTTTGCAATTCTGCTTGGCCAATTTTTACTCATGCCACATTTATGATCGTCAAAATTAGTATAAATCCGTTATTAAAGATTATAGCAACCAAAAAGTTACATTTTCAACTGTTATCGTTTTATAGTATAAATGTTTCAACCCAAGGAACATTCGAGGAGCTCATGATGACTTCTCATGAGTCTTGACAAAATGGGCTTTAGTTTCTCCAAAACATGTTAACTCAACGTTGGATTTAATGACGAAAATTGTTACATGTGCTGGCGGGATTCGACTTTACGCCACTTACATCAACTATCTCGGTCTATCGGGTAGTTTTGATGTTGTGACTTTTCATCTGTGGAGGTTTTATGATAATACTCTGCTCAAATTTCTTTGTTCATATTAGACATGAATCGTTTAGCCGGATTACCGGAACCGGAATTCCGGCTTTTTACAGAATCGTTGATTACTTTTAGTTCGTTAATTTTGGTAAAAATCGTGCAGTCGACTGATGACTCAAATCTGTTATTGTTAATCTTGTTATTAGGAGAGAGAAAACGTTATGTTGAGTTGTGAAAGTTTTCCCAGAAATCATAGTACATTAAGCAGATAAGTTCCACAAATTCCTTAATCTCAGATGTTATTCCTTCAGTAGCCACATTACAAAAATACTTTGCAATAAACACATTCTCTGGTGTAGGAACATTAGTGCAAAATAGGTACACAACGGAACACCTAAAAGCTGCAGCAAAATATTTAATTTTATGAAAAATGAAGAAATTAAGTACTAAATTTCTAATCGATAATAATTCATCGAATAATAATGATAGTAACAATGAACCGTTAGCCAAAAAGAAGAAGAAGAAGTTATCTACAAATTAAATTAAGTCTTTATGGCATCTTTTAAAAATAAAAGTTCCAGGGATTTCTCATTAATGATATTTTTTTAAAAGCTGCTGAAAACTCAATGATCGCTGATCCAGACTTACTTCAGGCTTATAGTACTACGTAAAAGTCTACTTTTAATGAATTGTTTGCTTTTGTGCCTGTCTCGGAGCATATTGTAGCGGATCACTTGTTAAATATCAAATCTGGCAGTATGGGATATGATGAACTCTCGGCTGTGATGATACATTACTGTTGTCCTTTCGTCATTTCTTACGTCACACATATTATTAATATTTGCTTATCGAGGTCAATTAGTATTTTACTGTTTTGACTAAAGTAGTAGAAAAAATTATGAATGATGAAATTCGGGAATTTGTCGATAAACTTAATACTTTGCCTAGGACACAGTCTGGATTTCGTGCTAATTACAGTTGCGATACAGCATTAACGCATATAGTTGATGACATATTGTTTGCGGAGAATCAAAATACGCTTACTGGATTAGTTTGCTAGATTACAGTAGGGCTTTTGATACTGTTAATCATAGGATGTTATCAGCTATCTTATCCTTTATTTGGTTCAATGATGTTGTGAGCATGATTGATAGTTATGTGTCAGACAAACAACAAGCGGTTAAATTGGGTGATCGGAGATCTGAACTGCGAGGCTTGAAGTCAGGAGTGCCACAGGGTTCTATCTTGGGGCCTCTACTGTTTTGTATCTACACTACTAATCTTTCGACAGTTTTGAAATATTCAGAGTCACATTTTTATCCNGTTTCGTGAAGCACACCATTGAAATTGTTATAACTTTTATGTAATGCAAGTTTGCGCTTTTGTATCTGTGATGTGTTGTTGGGGTTTCTTGTGAAATCGAGCGTATTCCTGCTCGGCTAATGTGCATCTCATTGCGGCTATGCGTTTGCAATTCTGCTTGGCCAATTTTTACTCATGCCACATTCATGACAGTCAAAATTAGTATAAATCCGTTATTAAAGATTATAGCAACCAAAAAGTTACATTTTCAACTGTTATCGTTTTATAGTATAAATGTTTCAACCCAAGGAACATTCGAGGAGCTCATGATGACTTCTCATGAGTCTTGACAAAATGGGCTTTAGTTTCTCCAAAACATGTTAACTCAACGTTGGATTTAATGACGAAAATTGTTACATGTGCTGGCGGGATTCGACTTTACGCCACTTACATCAACTATCTCGGTCTATCGGGTAGTTTTGATGTTGTGACTTTTCATCTGTGGAGGTTTTATGATAATACTCTGCTCAAATTTCTTTGTTCATATTAGACATGAATCGTTTAGCCGGATTACCGGAACCGGAATTCCGGCTTTTTACAGAATCGTTGATTACTTTTAGTTCGTTAATTTTGGTAAAAATCGTGCTGTCGACTGATGACTCAAATCTGGTATTGTTAATCTTGTTATTAGGAGAGAGAAAACGTTATGTTGAGTTGTGAAAGTTTTCCCAGAAATCATAGTACATTAAGCAGATAAGTTCCACAAATTCCTTAATCTCAGATGTTATTCCTTCAGTAGTCACATTACAAAAATACTTTGCAATAAACACATTCTCTGGTGTAGGAACATTAGTGCAAAATAGGTACACAACGGAACACCTAAAAGCTGCAGCAAAATATTTAATTTTATGAAAAATGAAGAAATTAAGTACTAAATTTCTAATCGATAATAATTCATCGAATAATAATGATAGTAACAATGAACCGTTAGCCAAAAAGAAGAAGAAGAAGTTATCTACAAATTAATATAGTCTTTATGGCATCGTTTTAATGATATAGCATCTTTTAAAAATAAAAGTTCCAGGGATTTCCCATTAATGATATTTTTTTACAAGCTGCTGAAAACTCAATGATCGCTGATCCAGACTTACTTCAGGCTTATAGTACTACGTAAAAGTCTACTTTTAATGAATTGTTTGCTTTTGTGCCTGTCTCGGAGCATATTGTAGCGGATCACTTGTTAAATATCAAATCTGGCAGTATGGGATATGATGAACTCTCGGCTGTGATGATACATTACTGTTGTCCTTTCGTCATTTCTTACGTCACACATATTATTAATATTTGCTTATCGAGGTCAATTAGTATTTTACTGTTTTGACTAAAGTAGTAGAAAAAATTATGAATGATGAAATTCGGGAATTTGTCGATAAACTTAATACTTTGCCTAGGACACAGTCTGGATTTCGTGCTAATTACAGTTGCGATACAGCATTAACGCATATAGTTGATGACATATTGTTTGCGGAGAATCAAAATACGCTTACTGGATTAGTTTGCTAGATTACAGTAGGGCTTTTGATACTGTTAATCATAGGATGTTATCAGCTATCTTATCCTTTATTTGGTTCAATGATGTTGTGAGCATGATTGATAGTTATGTGTCAGACAAACAACAAGCGGTTAAATTGGGTGATCGGAGATCTGAACTGCGAGGCTTGAAGTCAGGAGTGCCACAGGGTTCTATCTTGGGGCCTCTACTGTTTTGTATCTACACTACTAATCTTTCGACAGTTTTGAAATATTCAGAGTCACATTTTTATCCGGACGATTCCCAAATCTATCTATCGTTCTTGCCTACGGACATGGCCACTGCTCAAGTTAAATTGAGTGGGGAAATAAATAACCTGATAGATGTATCCACTAAACACTCGTTACGGGTAAATTCAAATAAATCAGTGGTTATGCTCTTTGGCAGGCGGGGTGCACGAGACTCTCTTGCAGAAAATTTTAAAATCAATATTGGTGGTAAATGTATTGGTGTTAGAGAGTGTGCTAGAAATTTAGGATTACAGCTCGACTCGAATCTTAGGTTCGAAAAGCACATCCTGGACAAAACAAAAATTTCATTTGCTGCTTTGAAGCTCATATATCATGAGAAATATTTTAAATCGCAGCACAAAGGTTATGTTTTGCGATTCCTTAGTGCTGAGCCATTTTAGCTTTTGTGATACAGTATATCATAGTTGTCTGAATTCAAAAAAATCACAAAGGATTCAGCGTGTTCAGAATTCATGTCTCCGAATGATTTTCGGGCTTAGACGAGGGTGCCATGTCTCACACAGGCTGATCGATCTTGGGTGGCTGAATATGTTTAACCGTTGCATATACCATATGGTTTCATTTTATCATAAGTTACTGTTGCTTAAATGTTCGAAGCAAGGGTGTTGTCACACCACCGTTATATGTTACTACATTATTTGAGAGATCATTCTCTTACAACTTATCTAAATTTTATAATAGCATCATTGAAAATGTTGAGCTTGTCGCCGTTTAAAGTAAAGATCAAAAATTGTTATATGGAGAACAATGTGATCAGATACAGGGTGGGACATGTGTAGTGGTTCGCACGAGACCAACGAGACGAGATTTTCATAAAGTCTTGTCTCGTCTCGCCGTTGAACTAATAAGTCTTGTACCAAGTCTCGTCTCGCAAGCTCCACTCTCGTCTCGTCTCGTTTCTCGTACGAGAGTCTCATAAAAGTATCGAAATCTCGTCATGCATAATCTTATTGCTTCAGTGCAATAAGGAATACTTAAATACTTGCTATAATGAAGAGAGAATTACAGCCCTCAGCCACGTCGGTCGCAAATGATCTTGTTTTTCACCCAATCGTTTAGGCATAACAACCATCGTACAGATTTATTATTAAGGCGATTTCGATGTTTTCTTATAGTTCATGCAGCACTTAAAACAGTAAACTTAAAATAGGAAATTCAGAAGCATGAATGTACCACTGTAATATATCTGTGTCTTTATTACACCGAGGCATAGAATAATATTTTTGAAGCTCCTGCATCCATTCTCCTTCGGAAGGCGTAGGATTTACTGCATACAAAACATAATCAATTACAAAATCCGACTTTTCCGCTCTAGAATCTTCTTGTTCCTCCAATGCCGTTACTTTCGAACGTTGACCTGCTGATTGATGGAAATAAGCTTTCTATACATCTTCAAATTTCTGAATCGAAGTCTCTTTTAATTATTGGCTCCATCTTGTCATATCAACAACTTCTATCTTATGCCGCGAACCGTGAATTAAAACTGCAGCATAAATCTAATCGTAAAACTAGATAATGCTTTAATATTTTGTTTCTCGCAGCCTGAAAACTAACAGTAAGCTGCTCTTCGATAGCGTTTCGATCTGCCTTTCGATCCCAAGCAAATATTTTGCTCTCAATATTATCTATTAGTATATTGATACATATAACCACCATAGGTAATTTGACGTACTTCCCTCCTCCGAGTTTCTTGGAAAGTATTTGAAAGTTGACTAGTAATTTATGCACTTCTTCTAGCAGTATCCATTCTTTGTCCTCAAGAACATATGGTTTTAAATCAACAACATTTTGACACAATGCACAAAGTCCATGTCTACCTTCAAGAGGTACTTTCAACATATATGTTGATGATATATCATTACTGGAATTCCAGCGTGTAGATACGAAAATATTTACTGAAATATTGCAAATATTATTTGCAGAAATACTTACTTGCGAGACTTTCGTACGAGACGCAAGACCTCATGCACAAGACTCGAGACGAGACCAATGGAAGTCTCGTCT